AACGAAGGTTGTTCATAAGACCGAACCTTTGGCAATATTATTCTGCTATTGGAGCTAACATCCCTGCTCTTTAGCTCCTTTTGGTAAAGAAATCTCAAACTTGTATGATAGATTTCCTAAACGCAAATAGATGAAATTGTAAAGCCGTTTAAGTTATCAATCTCATATAATAACAATATTGAATTAAAGCATGCATTCACTTAAATGGGTGACTTAAATGTTGTATAAAATTGATGATTTTTATTTGCTAGGAATTCAATATAAAAATATCTTCCTAGGAATTATTCCTATTTTATGCATTTAATTTCTTGATCAATCTGTTACTCTTTTGCTCTCCGTTCTAAAAATTAAACAATTAGGTTATGCTATTCAAATATATCTCAACGATAAGGGCGTACGTATTAAAAAAAAAAAACGCTTCATTTAGCTTCGGAAAAGATCAAGTGCGAGGATCACAAAAAAAACAAAGACAAGTATCTAAAATAAGTGCGAAATAAATAATGTAAATAATAATAAAGAGAAGTACTCGCATGTGCGGCTGGGAGAGTTGTGGAAGATGGAAGTGAGGAGAGTGGCATGGTGCATGACAAGCCCAAGCTCAGACTCAACGCCTGCCACCACCAGACCACATGCCTCGGTTTGCTGAAGCTGCTTCTCACGCTGTTGCTGATCCATCATCAGTGCATTTGGTTTAATTTTCTGTAACTGTATCTTTCTCTAAGTTTCGTAGTGTGTGCTGTGCAGTTACATACATATATATATATATATATATATATGGAGAGAGAGAGACAGAAAACCAATGGGTGTTAATTAAAGAGATCAATGGTGGACTCTCTTCCAGTCTTCTCTTTTTCGTTTTCTCTTTGTTTGGATTCGGCAAGTGTTATAATTCTTGATATAGAGCTATCAAGAATCCCCCCGATAACAGACTTGCAGAAGCGAAAAAACATAAAGAATAACACAGCAAAAATTTATACTTGGTTCGGAAACTCTTTGTGAGAGAGTTTTCTACATCCAAGTTGGGTTATGAAGGTCAAACGCCCTCTAGGATGCACTTTTATTTAGATAGCAAACAGGCACAAATTGTTCAACAGATATACATGTAACAACATATACCAGAGCAAGCATAAAATCTAAAACAGAAAAATATACCTACTCAATATTACAGAGAAAGAAAAATAGAATCGCAAAGATGCATCACATGTACACTATCGCAGTACATACAAAATCAAGAAGCTAGCAAACCGAAAATGTGAAAGGAAAGATTTCACCAATCTTGCATCCAGTTCCACCAAAAACAGTGGATTACTCCATGAGAGCTCACGACCTCTTCTTGTCCAAGAGAAGCTGCACGATACATCTAAACAATGGAAGGAAAGATGATGAACATTATGAGAATTAAGAACAAGGAGAGGAAGAGAGAAAAAGAAACATGCATCCATTGATTTGAATTACTAAATGATCTTACAAGTTAGAAGTGTTTTTATATACAACTCAATAGTTAAACTAACTCAATCACTTAATGACTAATCTAACAAACTCTTAACATAATATGATTAATCTAACTAACTATGCCACGTCATTATTTACACCCTCCCACAAGCTGGACTGTGGATATCCAAAAGACCAAGCTTGGATACAATGTGCTTAAAGGGACTTGGATGCAATGGCTTGGTAAAGAGATCAGCTAACTGTGCTTTAGTAGAAACAGGAAGCAGCTTTAAAAGACCAGCAAGTAACTTCTCCCGAACAATGTGACAATCAAGCTCAATGTGCTTGGATCTTTCATGAAATGCTGGATTGTTAGCTAGATATATGGCTGATTTGTTATCACAGTACACAGAAGCATGTATTGATGTGTCGACATGAAGATCATTAAGAAGAAATGTCAACCATTGAACTTCACATGTAATGGAAGCAAGTTCCCTGTATTCAGCTTCGGTGGACGATCGTGAGATAATTTGCTGTTTCTTTGCACGCCAAGATATGAGAGCAGATCCAAGGAAGAGACATTGACTAGTGATATATCTTCTTGTATCAAGACATGCTCCCCAATCAGCATCTGCGAACCCAGAGAGATGAAGACTGTTGTCTTTGGGAAAAAATAACCCTCTTGCAGGAGAACATTTAAGATACTTCAAAACTCTAGTGGCTGCCTGAAAGTGAACTGTCATGGGATGAGCAACATATTGAGAGAGTTGTTGAACAGCCAAGGTGATATCCGGGCGTGTTGTAGTAAGATAGAGAAGTCTACCAATGAGACGACGAAAGGATTCAGGATCAGAATATGGTTCTCCTTGAACTCTTTGCAGCTTTAAAGAAGGATCCATTGGTGTAGTCACTGGCTTACAAGCTAAGAGACCACTGTCATACAGAAGATCCAATGTATATTTCCTTTGGTTGAGAAGTAAGCCTGTGCTGGATCTACTGACTTCAAGTCCTAGAAAAAATTTCAGAGACCCAAGGTCTTTGATTTTGAATTCAGCATCAAGTAAGCCTTTCACGTGTGTGATTGCTTGAGAACTAGTTCCTGTGATAACTATGTCATCAACATAAACTAGGATTGCTGTAAATATTGGACCATGATGTCTGATGAACAAAGAATAATCAGCAGTAGACTGTTTATATCCAAGAGAGATCAGAAAGGTTGACAATCGTGCATACCATTGTTTGCTGGCCTGTTTTAGACCATATAGAGACCTATGAAGTTTGCAAACCTGTCCTGGTTTGACATTAGGTAAGCCTGGTGGTGGTAGCATATAGACATCCTCATGTAACTCACCATGAAGGAATGCATTATTGACATCTAGTTGGATAAGCTCCCAATTGCGTGCTGCAGCAACAGAAAGTAAGACCCTGACTGTAGTCATCTTGGCCACGGGGGAAAAGGTATCAAGATAATCAATCCTTTCCATTTGGTTATACCCTTTGGCAACCAACCTTGCCTTGTACATTTCTAAAGAGCCATCAGCTTTGAGCTTTATTTTGTATACCCATTTGCATCCAATGGGTTTAACACCAGCAGGTATATCAATGAGGGACCAGGTATGGTTGAGTTCCAAGGCAGTGAGTTCTCTCTGCATAGCATCAGCCCAACACGACTGTTGTGATGCTTGCTTTTAGTGTGTGGGTTCAATCAAGGAGCTTAAGGTGAGACAATAATGTGTGTATTGTGAAGAACAATTATCATAGGTGTAAACTTGGGATAATGGATAAAGAACAGAAGAATTACCTGGAGAAGAAGATTCAGCTGCAGCAGTTGAGAGACTCCAATGATAATCATCCAAGTATTTAGGTGGCTGTGTGCATCTAGAGGATCTTCTAGGATGCTGAACAATGTCATTGAAAGGCTGTGTATTGATGTATGGTGTAGGTTCAGGAATGGGTATGTCAGAATGCATATCTGATATAGGAATAGGGGATGGATTCAGTTGTGTAATAGAAGTTTGGAGTGGTTCTGGTATTGGAATCTGGTTTGAGTTGGAATTGTTGTTTTGTTGTTGGGGAATGTGGTTATCATCAAGGTCAGGTAAAGCAGAATATGGATAAGGTTTGACTATGTTGCTGTTGGGTGAGGAAGCATGAAGGAAAGGAAAATAGTGTTCAAAATTTTTTACATTCCTAGATATCAAAACAGAACCTGCAACAAGGTCATAGAGGATGTAACCCTTCATTCCTGGTTTGTGGCCAATAAATATACACTTTCTGGCTCTATGGGAAAATTTCGTTCTATGAGAAAGAATGGTAGATGCATAGGACAAACAACCAAAGACTCTCAGATCATGTAAATCAGGTGAATTACCAAAAAGTTTTTCAAAAGGTGAAATATTATCAAGAAGGGGAGTAGGGACTCAATTGATAATATGAACATAATGGGATATAGCATAACACCATAATTTTGGAGGAATATTTGCTTGAAAAACAAGAGATCTTGCTACATTCAAAATATGTTTATGCTTTCTTTCTGCTATCCCATTTTGTTGGGGTGTTTCTACATAAGATCTTTGATGAAGAATCCCTTTTTTGTGAAAGAAAGTATTCATATTGAATTCAGGTCCATTATTAGTTCTAAGGATTTTTAAAGAATTTTGGAACTGATTTTCCATATAAGAAACAAATCCTTCTAAGTGATAAACAGTTTCAGATTTGCATTTCATGAGTATAACCCATGTATATCTTGTGAAATCATCAACAAGTGTGAGGAAATATCTATGACCATGAATAGATCGAGTGGCATATGGACCCCAAATATCAACATGTAACAAGTCCAGAAATCTTTTGGATTTTGATATACTAATTGGAAAAGACAGCCTATGCTGCTTAGAAAACTGACATACATCACATGGAGCAACCTGTTTATATGGAATGAAAGTGTATTGAGAAGACAAAGTCTTTAAAATGCTATGAGATACATAACCAAGCCTATAATGCCATATTACATGATCATTGTCTAAGGTAATATCTGAATCAGAAAAATTACAACACAGAGAATTGCTATGACAGGAAGGTGAATCAAATGAAGACTGAGAGGTTATTGGTTTGGTCTTCGAGATGATTAACACATAAAGTCCTCTCCTGAGTTCAGCTGAACCAATCATTTCCTTGGTATGTTTCTGTACAATAACACATTTTGAATTAGAAAAGGTTAAAAAATATGGTGAGGTTTTAAGGAGTTTTGGGACTGAAATCAAATTAACTCTGAAATCAGGAACATACAAAACATCTACCAGTTTTAATGTATCAGTAATGTCAACAATTCCACTGAGTTTGGCTATGATTTGATGGCCATCTGGTAGATTAATGGATATAGGTTCTATTGCATGTAAGGATGAGAAACTAGATTTTTGAAAACATATGTGGTCGGTTGCACCTGTGTCCAGAATCCAATCATTGAAAGATCTACCTGCTGTGTATGGTATTTCTGTTGTCATGGCAGAAACTTGTACCAAGTTAGTCGAATGCTGATCTGCTCCTGTGTTTGAATTCAACATTTTCAATAGCTATTGATGCTGCTCTGCAGTGAAGAGTGCACTATGTTCTGTTTGGGAAGTATTTTCTGGTGTGACAGCAAGATTGACACTCCTTTTCGATTTATAGCCAGGAGGAAAGCCATGCTTAAAATAGCAACTCTCAATTGTATGATTTGTCATCTTACAATTTGTACAGAATCGTCCTTTTCCTCTTCCATTGTTACCACCTCTATTAAAATTGTTAGTGTTGCCACCTCTATTAAAATTGTCACTGTTACCACCTCTATTAAAATTGGACCTTCCTCTTCCCATGTTGAAATTATTCTTGGACTCAGAAACATAAGAGAAAGCACGAGTAGAGTTTGCAGCATGACCTTGAATTGGACCACTTAGCTTTCTCTCTTGTTGTATTATCATGGAAAAAACTTTATTAACAACTGGAATGGGATCAATCAACATGATTTGGGAGCTAACATGTTCATATTGATTGTTTAATCCCTTAAGGAATCTAATTACACGGCCTCTATCTCTTATCTTACGCATGTTGTTATAACCACCACAGGAACATTGTACCTGGCATATGCATCTTGGTAATGGAATCAGATTATCAACTTCATCCCATAGGATCTTCAACTCTGTGAAATATTGTGCTACTGTTCGATTTCCTTGTTCCAATTTGCATATATCGTCCTCCAAATCTGAAATACGAAATATATCAGCCTGAGAGAATCGATCCTTGAGGTCATTCCACGCATCTTCTGCATAATCAATCCAGAGAATTAACTATGCTATGGAATCATCTATCAACCTCTGAATCCAGCCTAGGACTGTATTGTTGCATCGTTCCCAATCTGAGTAGTTATCATCAGATTTGGAAGGAATCTTCATGGAACCATCTATGAAGCATAATTTGTTCTTCGAACTTAGAGCCATCCTCATAGCTCGTGACCAGGAGTGATAATTTGGTCCATGCAATGGGGTGAAACAAGTATGGTTGATGGATTCTCATTTGGATGCATGTATAGAGGATTTCGGGGATTGTTTATGAAATCAGGTGTTTGAACATGGTTTTCTTTTGTATTTTGGATCTGGTTATGGTTTTGGTTGATCTGGTTATGGTTTTGGTTTGGATCTTGGTTTTGTATATCATCAGAATTCTCCATGGACAATTGTGAGAAATCCATGAGAAGACTTAGAATGTACGCAGCGAAAGAAGTAGTGGATACCAGAGCCAATCAAGCTCTGATACCATCTAAACAATGGAAGGAAAGATGATGAACATTCTGAGAATGAAGAACAAGGAGAGGAAGAGAGAAAAAGAAACATGCATCCATTGATTCGAATTACTAAATGACCTTACAAGTCAGAAGTGTTTTTATATACAACTCAATAGTTAAACTAACTCAATCACTTAATGACTAATCTAACAAACTCTTAACAGAATATGAGTAATCTAACTAACTATGCCACGTCATTATTTACAATACAAACCCTAAGTTTCCTTTTGATTTAGAGAAAACAGAATGAACAAGAGAGAGAGACCAATTGAATGTATTTTGTTGTATATCCTGCATGCATTCCCGTCCCTCCCATACTCTCCCTTTCGTATAGCTTTTACTTTTACCATATTATGAATTCTTTCTTTTGGGGTTCCTTCCTTGCCAGATGAATTCTTATCTGTAAATGGGGTTATGGGTAATATATTGGATTAGTCACTATGTATATAATTTAGAAGGCAATGGGTGCCAAATTTGGGGACCTGATTAATGGTGAATGTGGCGCTGCATGCCTGTGTGTGTGAATATATAGGAAGTGCACAAACCAGGGTTAAGAGATACAGCTTCAACTGTTGTGGTGGGTGGACAGTGTTGCATGTTGCATTCATACACACAGTGGCATTAACTATAATAATATGGTCATTAATTCCTTGCAAGTTTTCTTCTAATGAATTAGGGACCCTAATTAAGTCACATGTTTTTTTAATATGGGGACTGGGGAGCGTGGCAGATTATAACTGCTGCTTACGTTCAATTCCTTCAAGGTTATTATATCAACCTTACTTGCTAAATATAAATCAATTCATTCAAACTTATTTTTAATGAAAAGTAATTTTACACGCTTGCACAAAAAATGAGGGAGAAAAATGTTACTTAGCACAATTTTAATGACCACGATTTCTTTTCATTATATTCTTCAATCACGATTCAAGAGAAAAACAAAAGAAAGAAACACATAATAAATAAATAATTAAATATGATATTTTTGTAATCTTGGGTGTTCTGTTCATTTAATATTGCCCATGTAGAAACAAAAAAGCATTATCCCAGAGTGTCAGTCTTATCGTCTCATGGAAGCAAAAATTACTTCCAAACTCAGCTTGTAACTCCACTTAGAAATCATTCACGCGTGCTTTGAGAAGTCAATTATAATGTGAATATTAACTCCAATTAACTGTATTATTAATATAGTTTTACTTAAGTAATAGATTATATTTTTGCCACTTACCAAAATCTAACACAAACGGTCTCTAGAGCAAAGTTCACATATCAATTTCACATGACAAACCAAAATAGAGATTCATTTAACTATATATTGAGAGGAATCTCTTGGGTTTTGCTCTTTCACTAAAGTCCAATATGGCCTAGTGTGTAAGAAGAGCTCAAGAAACCTAGAGCATCTAGGGTTCTATATTTGTTGGTCATATGATTTGTATGTGTATCCTTTATAATTCTTTTCATAAAAAGAATTGATGCTTTTATTTGGTTTTTGGCTTTAACCCATAGTAGATATTTGGTTGAGATTTTTTAGGTTGTAACAAGGAGGCTAATCCTTTATGATTAGGTTTCCTCCTTTATTATTTTATTTCAATTTCTGTATAATTTTTCGTTATATTACAAAAATTATAATGAAAGAAGATCAAGAAGATGCAAAAAGAAGGACGTTCGTCATTGTTTGGACGTGTTCATAACTTCTAGGTGGCCGATATGAGAAACCAACTACATGGCGTGAAAGGGGATAGAAACACGAGAAGAAAGGTGGCCAGAAAGGACTCCGGACGCGCCGCCTGAAGTGGTTGTGCATGGGCCTCACTTGCTGATACATATCCAGTGCATGTGGGCGCATGTATAATTCTGGTGGTTCCGACAGCATCGTGTTCGTCTCTTCATGGTGGTCCTTACCCTAGAGTTTCGTGTTGAGATGAGTTCGGGTGACAGTGCAGTAGATGTGACAACTAGGATTTCCAATAAAGTAGGTTAGGGTTTCTCGCCAATTAAAGTTTGGTATTTTGGGCTTTTAGGCCCATGGTTACTATAAAGGGGTTTGAACTACATCCTTTTGGACCAAAAAGAAGGACAAAAAAGACTAAAGAGTATTTTGTCTTATTTGTAATTTTTTTATATTTTTCTCTAGGTAACCATGGATTAAAGTCTAATTTATAATTGCATTAATTTTTTGAATGAATGAATTGTATGATGTGATAACATATTTGATGTGATAACATGCCATATAGAATAGGTGGTGTCATATTGTTGCATAACTTGTTAATTACATGAGCATATTAACTATTATGTCTTCAACGACTAGTATGATAATTATTATGAGATTATTTTGATTTTTATATTATTCTAAAAAATTAATTAATAATTATTAAGATTTTTGTTAAAAAAATCAAGATTAATAATTGAATTAATTAATTTTGGATAATAAAATCTAGATAAATAATCCAGAAAATATCCTAAGAGAACTATATGTTTTGTGAGTAAATTTGTGGGTCTTCTAAAATGATCATGTGTTAATCACACGCTGCAAACCAAAATCATGTATCATGATTGTGTGAAGCACATGTTGCCTATCATGACTGGATTTTAGGACTTTAATGATTTCAAAATTCTGCTAAGCTAAGCTAAGCTATGCACGTTCATCGGCGCGCACGCTTACATTATTTTTGAAATCAAACAAAGGTTACTCTCTATTAAATAATTCTTGAAAATTGAAAAAATTTCTTATGTTGAACGAGAGAAGATTTAAATTAAGAAATTAATTTAACCTCCAAGCACACTATAGATCATTAATAAAATAATCATGTGAAGCCGCATCGGATAAGCATTTATTAGATTGGACCTAAATAATGGGAGGAGATATAAATTAAGAAATTAATTTAACCTTCAGGGCATTGTGGACCTACAATAAAATAATCATTTGATGCCCCGACAGGTAAGCATGATTGGATTTTATTAGGCCTTAATATTTTCAAAATTTTGAAAAAGTATTGTACAACCCGACGTCGACAATACTAGGTTATTAAAGACAATTTTAAAATTATATAATGAATTTTACAATAAACAAAAGTAATTATGAGAATCTACTTGCACTTAATTTATTTATTGCATTATTTGTTTGTAATTGTGTGCCCCGTATGTTTTTCAGAAAATATTTTCCTTCAATCTTCTAGAAATGATTTTGAGTCAAAAATCTCTAGTGGTACCAATTATGAATAAGTAGAAAGCAAAATTTTGATATTATTCTAAAACATGAAAGCTAAAATTTATCCTGACAATACCAAGGCCACAACAACTTGCAGAGGATGCGTATTAGGGATGTTCATCAACCGATCCAAACCGATTCAAATCGCGGTGACCGAACCGAAAAACCGATAACCGAATAAACCTAAAATTGAAAAATCGCAAATTTTAATTGGATTGGATCGGTTTCAGATGGGTTGATGAAAACCGATCCAATATATTAATTCCCCTCAACCTACTTGGATATTTCCTCAATATTATAACCCAAAAATTTCTAAACCCAAGACTCATTAACCTATCAACTAAATCCAAGAAAAAATCTAGTCATTCCTCATCAACAAAATTTCATCTTTGTAGAGCTTCATATCTCATTGCCCAAACAAAAAATTATATTATAGTTTACTGATGCTTTTGTATTTCAAAAAAAAAAAAAATTAAAAAGCCAATATATACAAAAGATGTTATTTGCACAATAATAATGAAACAAATTTTATGATTTTCAAAAATCTGAAAACCAATCCAATCCAAACCAAAAAAAATTGGATTGGATCGGATTTGAAAAAAAATCCAAACCGAATAGATGATTATATGATCAAACCGAAGGGATTGGATCGGATGATTTTTGCTTCCAAAACCGATCCAATCCAGATTGCGAACACCCCTAATGCGTATAAGGAAACTAAGATGCAATACTCGAATTGAGAGAGAGAAGATATGGTAGTTTACTGCTAAGTTCTTGTCAGTCTTTCCAAACACTTGCGTCTTTCCAAACACTTGCATAAGCAAGTGTACATGGATAAGAATGGAGTAGAGATGCTTCAGACTCTTAATGATATTTTACTGCATCTAACAACTTTACTAGGCAAGATGCAGTTAGTGCATATTTCGCTAAAATTCTTGTTAAATCCAAAGGAAAACCCAAGGGTAGTAACAAGAACAAAATGGCTCGGTTATCAGTTGTCAAATCAGTTATTATGAAGAAGTCGCAAGGCAAGTGCTTCAAGTGTGGACATAAAGGACACTGAAAGAAAAATTGCCCAAAGGTGATGACAAGAACCAAATATGGGTAAATTAAGACTTGGTTAGTGGATAAATCAATGATTCAGGAATCACCGATTATGTTTGCTACTTTTAGTAGTAGTTCAAACATGGTATGCCTGTCAGCGGTAGACAAATAAATTTTAAGCTTAAAATTGGAGAACTTGTTTCTGCATTAGCAGTAAGACGAGTTACTTAAAGGACTTTGGTTTTGGATGATTGTTTATTTGTTCCAGATTTCAAGAGAAATTCAATTATTATTAGTTGTTTGGTTAAAACATGGTTGGACAATGCAATTGATTCCTCACTTACTTTTCGAAGGTCATCTTCATTTTGTTTCTTCTGGTACATTGTTTAATTAGTCTTTATTAC